GCTGCTGCTGCTGCTGCTGCGACCACCACGACGACGACTACTACTAGTACTGCCCCCGCCACCACCACCACTGCAACCACCAGTACTAGCGCTGTCAAACACTGTCACCACAAGCACCAATGCCACTGCTACCAGCAACAACGGCTGCTTCTGGCTTTTGCCCTCATTCTATTCCTACGTACTTTCACTGGAGCTCGTGTTATCAGCCGCTTTCCCGAGATGTTTAGGTGTGCGGTAGCAATGTTCTTTGCGAAGCCTTTTGCAGCCTCATGCTGAGAAGATCAACGAGGAGCCTAGTCTTAACGAGCAGCGACAGGATCTGTCCGCATGCAGTGGACACAGCTGAGCTCCTGGTGAAGGCCACGGTGCTGTTGGTTCGATGCCGTTTTTACTGTGCTGTAATGCTTGTACGATCTATTAGGTTCACAAGGCTCATGTCTGACGGCCCATACTCTCTGACATCATTCCAGTCTTACTGAGCTCCGAAACGTAAGCCCGAAGGAGTCTAATTCAGTGGTCTCTTCGTCTGACTACCGGCATTTAGGGCTCACCGCTTTGGGGTACGACAGTTCGGGTCAAAATCTGGGAGAGCCTGTGGCCCAGTCTGCAGCAGTCTACTCAGTTTATATTATAATGTCGGAGTTACAGGGGCACTAGCCTCGTGCGACAGTTGGCATCTACCTGCCTTGCACTTCATCCCTTTGAATCAGTCGGTCTCTGTCCTTATTTCCTTGCATGCATGGTGCAAGCGCAGAATGGAAAATTCTCTCAGCAACCCTCATCCGTTCTGACTACTATGAACAACGACATAGTCGTCCGATTGGCATGGATAATATAGGGGCCTTAATGATTAGAATAGGGTTTGGGGTATGGTATACTCTAATAGTTCTACTAAGCAACCCGCAAAGCCCTATTCTAATTTTTAAGGCTCCTACATTAGTTGTCAGCACTTGCAGACATGCTCTGCACCATGCCACCTGCATCATAATGAGGTTCGAATTTTTAGCACTTCCCTTCGGTAGGATATAGGCTTTAGGAAAGCTTATGCCACTGAACGCAGACATTGAGGAAGATTTGTTCACCCAGTCCTAATTTACCCTGAACAGTTCCCTTAAATCCTGTACTCACAGATCCTGAAGCCCAGCGCCGTTGAGTCCGGTACTCCGGAGCCTAAACTCCTCATAACACGCCTTCATCGCTTTCACTGGGGACCTTTAGAAACGGATTAAAAAACTTTTGGCTCTTTTTATCGGACCTAAACCCAGAGTCCCGAGAGCCTCAAACCCTAGGCCCGTGCGGACGTGGATCTTCGATTTCAGCCGGGCGGACCCTTTCGGGCGGCTCTGAGGAATTGGAAGGTTGTGTGTGTTGAGTGTTGAGGGGAAAAGTATTTTTCAAGCGAGTCTTTTTCAAGCCCTTAGGGCACCTCGGCTGCATGACTACGCTTTCAAACTATCTGGTAATCTGTCAGGGTGGGCTTAGATTCATCTGTATGTACGTTGCACATCTATCCGTGCATCCATGTCGGCATGCATACATGCACATATCAATGTTTACATATACGTGAGTAGCCATAGATCATACACGAAAACCTCCCCCAAAACAAGTGCACAGCTTTAAAACAGAGGCCTAACTAATTCTATTTTGGCGTTCCTTACCATCATATAGTAAAACATACCCCGACACCCTATTGTGATCATTCAGGGCCTATGTCACGCATGTATAGATTTCCAGCTTCAGATATGAAGTAGGGATGTTTAGTGCAAGTACTCACTGTGACGGCACCTCAATAATTGTTGAGCAGTCCTATGCGCTCTCCGACAGCCAGGCATAAGGGCCCTTAAGTTCGGACAGCAGTAGCTTCATATGGACATATGCCCTAAACCCTAAACCCCTAAACCCTAAACCCTCAAGGTGCAGGGATTAAGCTTTACAGACATGTGGAGCCCGAGTCTCGCGGCTCGCGTCACTGCGTGCCAACACATAGGACACAGGCCTTGCATGGTTTAGGGTTTAGGGTTCAGGGTTTAAGGTTGCTTGTGCACAAACACATGACCAGCTTGATGTTCCTTCGCCCTGTTAGACGCACTGCAAACCAGGGTGCCAGCACAACAATACCGGCCATGGGTCTCATTATTTACTGCTGATTCAGCTTCAGATTACTGTACTACTTACTAGAACTCTGCCAAATTACCAGCATTGGATTCAACAAGCTGCAATCGATTGATTCAATTCCTGACTACGTCTTGGTTTTGAGGCGTTTCAGCTTCCGTCGTCCCTCGAACTGTGTCTAAGACATTTTCAGGTGGGTAGTTACCGTTGTAGGAGCCTTAAAGAAGGCTTATATACCCTATGGAAGACTTCTAGAAAGCCTATATACCCTAAACCCCCCACCTGTAGCTTCCTTTAGCTGTGTGGGACCACAGCTTTCTATGTGGTTTCGTCCCAACTTCATTCTCCATTCCACGGAGATTACCTGAGCCTGGAGGCCCTGCACCGCCCTAAGTTCCAAGCGTTGCCTTCAGAGGCATGAGGGAGTTTCAGAAAATTAAGGGTACCTTATTTTGGGCTCCTTATAATCGGGATCCTATTATTTAGGGTACTATATTAGGGTACTATATTAGGGTCCACTATTCTCGGAAACCCCCATGAGACTTCTTGGGTAGTTCTCTAAAGTAGGGTCCCGCTTTAAATCCCCAATGTAGCACGGCACCCTTCTGGGTAAAAAGGGCCCTAAAAGACACCCTAATGCAGGGAACTACCCTCTTAGGCTGCATACTCTCCGAGACCAGGAATTTCCGGGATCTGCCGTAACAACGCGAAACACACGCGCACACCTATAAGGAAATCGTCAGGCACGCCGAAGGCACGGAGTAAGTACACATGTGTTCCTGGACTTGGTTTCTTTTGCAGCGTCGATCTAACGCAAGAGTTGCAAGACCCTAAACCCTAAACCCTAAACCGGAGTATTTCAACGGTCGAGCCCACAGTGCGTCAAGCTTCAAAGGGTTTAGGGTTTAGGGTTTAGGGGTTCTTTTCAGCTGGGGAGGATTGTAGGCCTTGGGCTTTTGAGGAGGGGCGCTCGGGCGTAGCGTGATCTGTAGTCACGGGCTTCAGCAAGTGCCTCCTGAGAAGGCAACCGATACCAGAAAGACACCTGAAACTCCAAAACTTTGAGTACCTTGCTGGCAGTCTAGCTTAGCATTGTACTCATAACACAGTAGAACTGAAGAGAATAGGTATAGATGCACATACATATAGATACTGCACCCTTGTAGGAACCCTCAAAAGGAACCCTCACAGTAGATAGGGAAGCCTACCCTAAACCCTTAAACCCTTGAACACTTAAACCCCCAAACCCGTAAACCCTAAGCCCTTGAACCATAAATCCTAAACCCTTAACAAATCCCAAACACCTAAACCCGAAACCCTTATAAACCCTTAAACCCTAAGTCCTAAACCCTTAAACCCAAAAAAACCCTAAACCCTTAAACCCTAAACTCTTAAACCCTACATCCTAAACCCCTAAACCCTTAAACCCTAAACCCCTATAAAGCCTATAAGCCCCTAAACCCCTATAAACCCTATAAACCCCAAAACTCCTAAACTCCTAAACACTTATAAACTCTATAGATCCCTAAACCCTTTGTTGGCCACCGAAGCTTCGGCTGCAGCCGAGGCCCTGGAGTTAATCAGCCGGGGCTATGCCAAGATGACGACGCGGAAGGCGCCGTAGATGGGTAGGGGTTTTTGTTTGGGGTCTAGAGGGTTTAGGGGTTTATAGGGTTTAAGGGTTTATGTAGGGGTTTAGGGTTCAGGGGTTTAGGATTTAGTGTTTAGGGTTTCGGAGTTTAGCGGTTTAGGGGTTTAGGGTCCTAGTTCCCTTGATTCTCTCTGGGTTCCTTTAATGAAACCGAATAGTAGGGACAAGGGTACCCTTGTTATTTAGGGGCTACTGGGGAACCTAGATATTCAAGAGATATTTAGGGGTCTAGGGTTAAGCGGTTTAGTGTTTAGGGGGAATGCATGCTGCATGCGTAGTTCTCTAATTTAGGGTCCCTTTTTAGGTCCCCAAAATTGTACGTCACCCTTATGAAAAGGACCCTAAAAGGAACTACCCATATGCTCAAGAGATATTTAGGGGTCTAGGGTTTAGGGGTTTATGGGTTTAGGGTTTAGGGGTGTAGGGGTTTAGGGGTTTAGGGCTTTAGGCTTTGAGGTCAGGTCTACGGTTTGTTCTGAGAGTTCTACAGTGTAAGGAAGTCTTTGGGGTTGTCGTACATACTGGGATCTAGCTTAGGGTTTAGGGTTTAGGGTTTAGGGTTCAGGATGATAAGTGGTAGGATTCCTTATACTTTACCTTAAGGCCATTAGGAGAAACATGTTCCTTCCAACTGTCGGGTTTCTACTTTATAAGGCATGCTGCACGCCTCCTAGATCTATGGTATGGGGCTTTGTACGGGTCGTAATACTCAGTAGCGTAGCAGGCAACCTTTCATCTTCTGATTTTGGGGCCTATATAATCGCACCATACTGAGAAGGTTTCCCTAAGCCCTGAACCCCAAATCCCTGAAGCGGGAAGGAAAAATCCTTCAAGCTCTAAAGAGTTTTGTACGGAGTGGTGACGCCGACCCACGGCTGCAAAACCGTCCTTCATCAAAGCTTGGCGTTGGGATCCCTGTACAGTAATGATGCTTACGAAGGGCGGCAGGGTTTATGAGTCACGGAACTACGGTACACCTGGGGCATTCCTTTGCTTTCCTTCGCGACACAAGGGAAGTTAAACCCTAAACCCTAAATTCCTAAACCCTAAAGCCTAAACCCCTAAACCCTAAACCCTAAACCCCAAACCCCAAAACCCCTAAACCCCTAAACCCCTAAACCCATTCATGATGGTTCAGGAAGGGCTCGGGTTGGAAAGCTGG